AAAAAAAAAAAAAAAAAAAAAAAAAATTTTAAAATTCACTCATTTCAATCCAAATTAAATCAAGAGTAATACAATATTGACCGTGAAACAAATTTATATATATATTATTTATGTAATATATGTTAATGATTTGATTTACAATATATTTTATTTTATTATCAATATTTAATAAATTTATATTTTATTGGTTGGTACGTATTAGTTGATAGCTTGTATTATATCAATATCAATTAGAATACACATCTGGTTCGTGGGTAGTTAAATTAAATTTAAATATAATATTTATTTAATAAACATAATATTTAAATAATAAAAGTTGGAAAATACAAGAAAATTGAATCCAATATATCCAGTTTCAAGAGCCCACTTTGTCGAATAAATTAAAATAAAAAAACACGACAGAGGAAACCTAAAGCCTTTCATTCCCTCACTCATGCTCTGCTTCTTCCCGCCTGCTCCTCCTCCCTTTCAGCAGCCCAGTGTTGCCGCCATAACTCCCCGGTTCACTGCCGCCACCGCCGTCTCTCTTCCTCTCGTTCTGCGCGCCTCCCTCCTAGCGGATGCTCTGATTTTCTACTCTATTGCTGTTGCTGGTATTCTATCTATCTCCATCTGTCTATTCTTCGTTTATTTTTTACGTCAACATCAGAATAGCAACGAAAAAGAGAGAAAAAAACTGCGGCAAATCGGGGTCTTTTCGAACTGAGCTGCTGTGTGTACACTCTGCCCTTTGATTTCTTGCACGTTTCTGTCAATTGATGGTTTGATCATCTGTATATCTCTTTGGGCTCTGCTGAAAATTGCAATGCATCTTCTTTATTTATCTAGAACCGGTGGCAGTAATCCATCGCATACAAATTTTCTCTAACAACCGAACGTCATTGATATTAGAATTAAAATAGTTTAGCCTTTTCTTTCAACACTTGCATCTCAATGGCGGTTTCTTTTGGATGCATTTCCCCCTTGAATTGGTAACTTTTGGATACCTTTTTATTGGAAGTCGTTATTAGAAGTGAACGCTCCTAGGTTGAATCTCCCAACCCATCTTGTTGAACTAGTTTTGATTGTCAGTGTTGAATTCTTTAGGGAAATGAGTTTCTTATGAATGAAATACTATAAATATATCCTACACTATTGTATGTTGATTTTAATTGAGTGCTTATGGTTACTGCAGCTGAATTATTTGGGGGAATGCATCCCTTCTGTCACCATTGGCAGTTCTGGGAGGAATGTCATACATTCTGAATTCTCTAATTCCCTTCTCGGGAAAGGTAAACTGTTAATTGAGACTGCGTTTGTTAAGGTTTCAAGACACTGATGGTATGAATTTAAGGGGTCTAGGGTATGCACTGTGTAGTAGCTAAAAGCAATGGGGAGAAGGAAATATATCTGTGCACCCTTCTTTTGTCTGACCAGGTTGAAGGCTTTGCATTATTCCTCATTCTGATTCATTTTTCTCCTCCTCTAGATCACAAAAGGGGAAGCCAATAACGATTCACTTCCATGAATTGTTTGTTACTCACTGTAAATAATCCCATCAAGCTCAATAAAGTAAAGCTCAAACTAGTCAAATTCGCCTCAACGGCAATTGCTCGACTAAACCAATGTTCTTTTTCTCAGAGTGATGATGAACAAATTACCATCTCCCTCAACACAACTTCGCACATTCAATTTAACCCATCAAAGGTGATCCAAATCTTAGAAAGTCTTCGAAGGGAACCCAACAGTGCCTTTTCCTTTTTCCATAAACTTGAGGAACGGGGCTTTTGTCATAACATCTCTACTTATGCAGCTCTCATTAGGATATTGTGCTCTTGGGGTTTGGAGAGAAAGCTTGACTCTCTGTTCTTGAATCTTATTGGCTCCGAGAAAACAGAATTTGATGTTTTAGATTTGCTTGAATCACTTAATCAAGGATATGTGATGGATGGCTCATTCATTCGAGCATATGATTCGTTGATCAAGGCTTATGTAAGTGTTAGCTTATTTGATAGTGCTGTGGACTTACTTTTCCGATCAGAAAGGAAGGGATTTGTTCCACATATTTTTACTTGTAATTTTCTCTTGAACCGCCTTATCGAGCATGGGAAATTGAATATGGCTCTAACTGTGTATAAGCAGTTGAAGAGGTTTGGTTTTCATCCTAATGATTATACTTATGCTATTGTAATAAAAGCACTCTGTAAAATGGGTAATATGGAAGAAGCTATAGATATTTTTGAGGAGATGAGTGAAGCTGGGGTGGTCCCAAATGCCTTTGCTTGTACTGCATATATTGAAGGGTTGTGTACCCACCGTTGTTCAGCTTACGGGTACCAGTTGCTACAAGATTGGAGAGCAGCACAGGCCCCGATAGATGTGTATGCTTACTTTGTAGTTATTCGTGGATTTTGTGAAGAGATGGAAGTAAACAAGGCAGAAAATGTTTTTCTCGATATGGAAAAGTATGGAGTAGTTCCAAATGCACAAACTTATGGAGTGTTAATCAATGGTTATTGCAAGATGTTGAAGTTACAGAAGGCTTTGTCTCTTCACAGTTTCATGTTGTCAAAAGGTATAAAAACAAATTGTGTGATTGTCAGCTCTATTCTTCAATGCTTGATAAGGATGCAAATGTATTCAGAAGTAGTGAACCAATTTAAAGTATTTCAGGATGAGGGAGTGTTTTTCGACAAGGTTGCATACAATATTGTTGTTCATGCCTTGTGTGAACAAGGGAAATTGGAAGAAGCTATGGAGTTGTTAGAAGATATGACAAGTAGACAGATCCAGATGGATGTTGTTCATTATACAACTATGATTAAAGGTTTTTTTGTCCAAGGAAAAATTTATGAAGCAATGACGATGTTTGAGAATTTGAAGAAAAATGGTATTGAGCCTGACACCATCACTTATAATGTGCTCGCTGCTGGATTATCTAGAAATGGTCTTGTGTCTGAGGTGAAAAACCTTCTAGACTACATGGATGAACATGGTTTGAGAGAAGACCCTAAGATATCCAACCTGATAAT